TCCCGTCATCCGCCAGGAGCCTTGCCAGAGAGGGCCCGCGGCCGAACGTCCGCGGCGGCTCTTTCCAGAGCCACCAGTACAACGAGGCATGCAGACCTTCAGACCTGTAGAAATAGCGATAAGATAAAGATAGGCACATTGAGATAAGATATATCATAGAGATAGGATAGATAGAAGCGCGTAAGCGGCAAACCCGTGTACCCTGATTGTGGTCGGGGGACTCGGTGCTGACGCCCGGAAGGACTCTGGACTCCTCCCGGACCAACTCCGCACTCATCCGGGACTCCCCCCGGACCGATTCCCGACTCACCTGGACCGACTCCAGACTAACTCTGGACTCCTCCTGGACCGATTCCTGACTCACCCCGGACCGACTCCAGACTGACTCTGGGCTCCTTTCGGACCGACTCCGCACTCCTCCCGCACAGACTCCGGACTCCTCCACCGGAGGACCGGAGGACCCCGGCACCCACCGTGGTGCCGACCCGGTGTCCGGAGCACGCCTGGCCCGCACACGCACGTACCATCGCTGGTGAGGGGTCCCCACGCCCGCGTAGTGAGCAGGTTCAATTGAAGGCATACTCGCGGGGGCTGATGCAGATGGAGGAGGGGGAGGATGATGCTGATGTCACCTCGGGCATCCGTCGGCCGTCCGCCGCTATGCGCGCCCAGGACCACGCCGTGCAGTTTTCACGCGCCACGACATTGCTCGTGCGCTGTGCTTCAAGCGATTTTGAAGACTGTGTCGGGCGTCAGCGTGATGTTGAATTATTGTTGCAAAGGCGACGATCACAGTGGCGTTCAGTGCGTGTGTTTGTCATGCCTCGAGGGCTACTGCACAGAGGAAGGTCAGGTGCACACAGAGTCAGCTGTCTCCTGCCGCAGTGTCACCAGTGCTGGATAATTGATGACGTGTCAGGCTATTGCATAATCCCGAAAACACTGAATGTCTCTGAGGAAATCCTCATCGGTATTTGTCCGGGACGTTGCACACATTTAGCTTTGGCCGCGCTTCAAAGTCTTGCTAGTCCACCCTATTGCGTAAGCATTGCACGGCCTAGGCCACAGACCTGGGCGACGCAAAAGCCACCACGTGCCTTAATTGCCCGGGCTTTGTGGGACAGGCTGGGGCGTTAATTGCTTTGCGTGCCTCGAGTCCTCATCGTTATTTTTTCCACCGAAGGCCGCTGACGTTGCCAAGCCGCCGATTGGTGCGCGGTTTCCTCGTTTTGCAGGTTTCGCAGACCGAATGACACCCGTCCGACGCTAGCACGGGATGATGCTGCGATTTGGTTACCCGGCTGCTTTGTGGAGCAGCGGACCGCGAATGCCGCGCCGGCGTTTCGCCATCGATCGGTACACCTCAGCAGATGGTGACGCATGGTCGGCGGCTGCCGATAGCCTTCACAAGTCGTCTGCCGGGGAGGTTCAGTTCGGTGTTGCACGCGACGGGGACCCGGCCCCACAACGGGAGGGATGGTGGCACAGTCCACGTATGCCGGCAGCTGCTCTGTACATAATGCGCCATCGGGTTGGGTCTGGGTACCGGCAGTGCCGCAGGTGGATACCAGCGGTAATGGAACCGGATACCAGCGGTACTGGAACTTGGTGCCGGCGGAGCTGGTTACCAGCGGTACTGAAACTGGATACCGGCGATGCTGGAGCTATATACCAGCGGTATTGGAACTGGATATCGGCAGTGCTGTAGCTGGATACCGGCGGTACTGGAACTGGATACCGGTGATACTGGAGCTAAATATCGGCGGTACTGGAACTGGATACCGGCGGTACTGCAGCTGGATACCGGCGGTACGGGAACTGGATACTGGCAGTATTGCAGCTGGATACCGGCGGTACTGCAGCTGGATAACGGCGGTACTAGGACTGGATACCGGTGATACTGCAGCCAAATATCGGTGGTACTGGAATTGGATACCGTTAGCACAGCAGCTGGATACCGGCGGTACTGCAGCTGAACATGGGCAGTACTGGAACTAGATACCGACGGCACTGGGAGTGGATATCGGTGGTTCTGGAGCTTGGTGCCGGTGGTACTGGGGCTGGATACCTGCGGTACCGGAGCTGGATACCGGCGGTACTGGAGCTGGATAC